TTTAGCAGGGCTAGTTATCCTAGTTTAAGTTTGAGTAAGACTCAGATTTCATTCTAACAATCAAAGATGGTGAACTCGATTTGCCAGCTTTCAGCCTTGCATCCTTTAAGGAGGGCCACTTATGACAAAGATTTGTATAAGGCTGGTGGCATTGTCTATGGCTGCTGGGCTGCTGACTGTTACCAGAGCTAATGTGGGATCTTTCTGTTGTAAAATTCTCTGAGCATTCTGTACTGCTCTTTCCCCTAGTCTGTGCTCTTGTGGGGACTGGAAGTAATATGCTCAAAATGGTACCATATCCATCAAGTTATGAATTCAGGGTCTTATTGTCAGTGATTTCTTTAGAAAGGAAAAGACTGTAAAGTAGTCACAGAAGACAGGGGTAGGATGGGTTAGTCCATTTAATTATCAGAGAATACACAGGTCTCAAACCTGATCTCCGCCCCACCCCTTTGTATATTGGCACTAGTGGCTATTTTAGTCCTAATCTCAATGGTGAGACTGGCTAGCCACTCAAAATCAGGGCCGGCTCCAGGCACCAGCAAAGGAAGCATGTGCCTGGGGTGGCACATGCTAAGGGGTGGCATTCCATCCATTCTTGGGGCGGCAAAGTCCGGGCGGCTTTTTTTTTTTTTTTGCTTCGGCAGTTCGGGCGGCTTTTTGTTTTTTTTCTTGGGGCGGCAAAAATGGTAGAGGCGGCCCTGCTCAAAATGGCATCCACATATGCTTATATCATCCTGAGTCTCTAAGAATGTGGTTGATCCCATCACAAGATCTAGTCTATGCCCCATGCTGTCACTAGTCTCTTGGGAGTGACCCCTTTAGTGTGCCAGCACCCACAGAGGCCATGGGACTCTAAGACTCCAAGCCTGGGCCTTCCCCGTCTCTCCGCAGCAAATCCAAATCCTTCTGTAGGAGGTGTTTACTGTGCCCCTCTTTTTTTACAGCAACATAGGCAGCCTTTACCAAACAAGGTAACCATTTATTAGTCACCTGGCATCTGAGTCTCTAGGTTAGCGCAGAAGTTGTTAAGCTATAGTTCACTCTGGTCAAACCAGTGCCACTAGGAGCTAGCCAAGCTGTGATGAACTCCATCTCTGGCTCTCCCTACCTGTTCCTCCTTTTTGTCTCCCCCCAAGTCCAGGCTCCTGAGTCCCTCCAAAAGGGCCACCCTTCTTCTGGTTACCTGACTGACACCTTGTTCTCCTGCTCAGTTCCCGAGTCCTACCCTACTGGGGTTTCCTGCTGTTCGTTGCTCAGTCACTGGGATGTCTTTGTCATTCTGGACCCTCTGTTGGTTTGAGACAGTTCTTTAATGAGCCTGTTAATTCCTTCCAGACAGCAAGGAGACAGACAGACAGACACACCCCCCCCCCCTCCTGCACTGTTCCAAGAACAACATTAACCCTTTTGCACCTACATGGTAGCAATGTACAGAGGGAAACTGAGGCATGCCTAGGATTCATAAAAAAATATTTTTAAAAACTCCTTGGTCACAGATCAACAGGGTTCCTTGGTAAGGTCAGCCAACGTAAGGATTACACCAGGCTTAAATCTCATCAAAACTATTGGCAATCTCTGACATCTAGGGGGCAGGGCACCTTATGTAGGTCGTAGAGCATACGCTACTTGTATTGTTTATCACAAGCCTGAACTTATCATGATCCTGCGGGTAGCTTGTGGCCTCTTTACTTGGTGTACCCATCCTGGGAGTTGTGAGCTCTAGGCGTCTCTGAAAATCAGGCCATTTTTATTTCAGTCCCCCAGCTTTGAGAACTGTAGCCTATATTACCTTGCACTTCTAGAGCATCTTTCAACTGTTGGCTTTGAATCTCTTTATACATTTAGCCTCCCAAATGCTCTATGAAGTAGCAGATATGGATAGGCTTGGCCATAGGAAAGTTTTTACAAAACTAGTGTCATTGCAATGAAGGAGGCAGGGTGCCTCGTTAGCCACTGCAGGGGAGCCAGCAAAAAGACACTGCACAGAAATATTGCAGAACACACATCGTTTCATGACAGCATCCCATGCAGCTGTAGAACCCAGCATCTCTTACTGTAAGTAGGAATCTTCCCTGAGGCCTCTCAGCACATCAGAAAATAAAAAGCTAAGAACAACAGAGGTGGTTTGGATTTCAAGAATCTGACCCTGTTGGACAAGTTGGAGTCATGGAAACTCTCATAGCAAACAGGGCTGCTACCTGTTTCTCTGCCCCCCTGTCTTGCCTGGGTTGCTACAGAGTACTTGATCCCTGACGCAGAGACCATCTTCTTCTGAGGGGAATCTACCATCCACATTAAAATATGGAATAGCCTTACCAAAACTAAAGAAACAATCATTCTTTGCTGGAGTCCTTGCAAGCTGCTGCCCACTGTAACCTTCCTCCCCCAAGCAAACTAAACTTAGAAGCTCCCAGAACACTCTTCAGCAGCCAGTCTCCTGGATCCCTCTGTTAGAAAAGGGTTGTGGCATAGTGCATGACACCCTCCTGCCAAAAGGCAAGGGAATAAAGTCATATACATCCTGCTGGATGTCTGGCATTTGGTATTGTTGGTCACCAAATTTCTGCTGTCCTATCTCCAAGAAAATGCATGAATGAATGGTTTGGGTCCAAACCACGATACGTTACAGGCAACTATTCTCCACCTTCGATGTCCTTGCCTGCAAAGTCCCACAAGGCTAAATCTTCTCCTTTATCACATTTAGCATATACATGGAACAAGTGTGGCAATTAGTGAGGCAGAACAGGCTGAAGTGCCAGCGTTATACAGCTGGCACACACATGTATGTCTCCTTCATATCAAGTACAAATAGCAACCATAGTTCCCCACCCTGCCAGGAACGGTGTGGCTCAGGCTTCAGCACTGGGGTGGCGGGTAGCAGACTTAAGCCATGCAGCGGCAGGCTCCATCCCCTAGCTGTCATGTTTTGACCTGTGGTCCAAAGCTCAACACCCCATCCAGGCCTTAGCTGCCTCTCCTGCCTCTTCCCCAACACCAGCCCCTGCTGTCTCCCTACCCACATCCTCATCCAGCACTTAATTTGTCCGCTGGCTTGCCAGAGCCAAGTCAGGCTGTTGTGAAAAGCGATGTTTGTTAATATCACTTTTCACTGCCTCCTAGCTAACTAGTCTGCTGCTGTGAAAAGTGATATTAACAAACAGGGCCAGCTCTAGGCACCAGCAAACCAAGCACGTGCTTGGGGCGGCACATTTTCAGGGGCGGCATTCCGGACATCTTTTTTTTCCCTTTGGGCGGCAAAAGCCTAGAGCCAGCCCTGGCAGCAGCAGCGCGGGGGGTGCCCTGGGGCTGCTGCGGTTCGTGCCGTGGGGGAGCAGCGCCTGCACCTTGTGGCTGGGCTGGGCAGGCTCTGAGCGGGGGACACTAGGGCTGGGGGCTGCCCCGCGAGGCACACGGAACCGCCTGCAGGTGCCGCAGGGCGGCCACCCCCCAGCGCCGCAGCCGGGGCTGGGCGAAGCGGCCCAAACCGCCCAGGGACTGCGGCAGGGTAGCCAGAAGCAGCAGCAGCGGGGCCATAGAGGGCGGGGTGCTGCCATGCGGGGCCCACGTCCCGCTCTCCGGGGCTCCGCTCCCTCTGGGGCTACCCTGCCCTGGCTCCTCAGCCCTCTGCCGGGGCGGTCCCCTGGCTCTGCCCTCCCGGGTCCCGGCAGGTCCTGGAGGCAGGAGCCCTGGCTGGTGGGACCCTGGGCTGAGGCGCGGCCCGGGAGCCCCAGTGCTTACCCCGACCCTGCCAGCACTGGACCGGCTGGAGGCAAGGGGGGAGCGGGCGGAGTCAGCACTGGTGCGGGGGAGAGCCCAGTGCTGGGGCGGCAGGGGGTGCGGGTGGGGGGGAAGAGAGAGCCCAAGGCTGGGGCGGCAGGGGGTGCGGGTAGGGGAGGGCACTGGTGGGGGGGGGGGGAGAGCCCATGGCGGGGGGGGGGGGCAGCCAACATTTTTTTTGCTTGGGGCAGCAGAAAACCTAGAGCCGGCCCAGTTAACAAACATACAAATATTACTTTTCACAGAAACAGACTTACTAGCTGGCATGTCTAAAGCAGAGGGGAAAAAAGCAACCGCACAAGCAACAATGACAAAAACATGCAAAGCACCTTATTTATTTGTATTCTGTTTAGGTTCAGTAACAAATAGAGGCAACTGTACCTCTTTTTATTATTATTATTTTTTTACACGGCACCTAAATCAATTACGACGATTTGGACATGGCGACGGGCATCTTTAAGTTAATTGAGTATTTTAGAAAAAAAACTGTCAGAGCGGCCGCCGGCAGGAGTTGGTGGCCGCAATCAGAGGCCCCCACAAAACTTCTTGTGAGAACCTCTGCCTTAAAGCACCATCATAAAGGACCAGGTAAGTGAGTCATTCCCTCCTCCTCCTGCCCTATAAACAACCAAAGGTCACATCCTCTATAGAACAGGGGTCACCCTTTTCCAGCCCCTGCTGCACCACAAACTTGAGCCCCCCCCCGTCTCCTCTTGCCACCTACTCATGTCCCGCAGGGTGAGGACCCCTTTCCTGCCCCTCTTTTTTGGTAGTTCCCCAGCGGGCACCCCGCCTTAGGGGGCTGCACACGGCTATGCCTCGCGGGGGCAGAGACCTGCGGGGACGGGGGGAGACGGGGACGCTGCTTGGGAGGGACGGGGCGGCTCTGGGCGGGCTGGGGTTGCGCTCGCCACAGGTGGTGCTTGGCCCAGCCGCGGGTGAGGGCCGGGGGAGGGGCGGCAGCAGCCCCGGCGCTGTAGGCGAGCGCTGCCTTCCCCGGGGCCCTGCTGGGTGGGTGGGGGAGCCCGGGGGGTGGCGCCCCTGCCACGGGCTGGCGCTGGGCGCTGTCCGCGGAGGGAGGTGCTGAAGGCCGGGAGGAGGCGGACACCGTCGCTCGCTTCCCCCCCCACCCCCCGCCTGCTGCAGCCATCTTGCGCGGCGGGGGAAGCGGGGCGGCAGCCGCGGGCGCCGCGGGCTGGCTCGGGGCGGGCAGCGCCGCCATGGTGAAGAGGAAAAGCTCCGAGGGCCCGGAGCAGGAGGGCGGCCGCGGCGTCCCTCTGCCCATCCAGACCTTCCTGTGGCGGCAAACCAGGTGCGAGCGGGGCTGCGGGGGGGACCCGGCGCGGGCCCCTGTCCCGCTTGGCGGGCCTCGGGGGGCCCCGCAGCGCTGCTCCCGCCGGCAGGGCTGTCGGGCCGGCCGCCTCCCTGCCGGGGCGGGACGTGCCTGGAGCTCTGCCCAAGCCGGAGCGCCCCTGGTTGAGCTGCTCCCGGGGCAGGGTCTGCTGGGTGAATAGTGGGGGGGTGTTCCCCCCACTTCAAAACCGGGGCTATCTTGAGGCGAATAGTATTTCTGCACCCTCCCACCCCCTCCCAAACCTCTGGCTGTCAACCTGTTCGTGTGATGTTTGTTTTTGTAGGGTCTCTATTTTGGGGGGAGTGTGTGGGTGTGTTTGTTGTTTATCCCAGTGGTAGACTGCGAAGGCCAACTTCCAACTGAGGCCTGAGTTTGAGCAAATACTGTAGGATGAGGTCCGAAATAGCCTCATAGGCTTCAAGGCCAGAAGAGACCATCATGATCATGTAATCTGACCTCCTGCAGGGCCACAACCTCACCCACCCACTCCTGTAACAGACCTTTAACCTCTGGCTGAGTTACTGAAGTCCTCAAGTCTAACTACTTGTTGTGGGGTGGGTGGGTTTTCTGGCTAAAGCTTGTGAGGAAATGGAAGCCTCCAAGCAATTCAGAGAGCTGTGTATTAGAGGAAAAGAATCATTAACACAATCTACTAGCAAACCACAGCTATTCAACTCATAACTTCCGTAATACTTAATATATTCTTATTCTCCTAAATACTTTGATAAACGGTAAATGTGACTACTAGAAAATGCATCATTTGGATGAGTTAAAATGGCTGAATTCTTTTTACCTTTAGGGAAGAAAATCATATTTTTAAAATGTCTTGCTTTCATATCGGTATTTGCCTGGTATTTGTGAAAACCTTCTGTTTATGGAAAAGGTAATAACATTCTGTACAGTGCTTTCAACAGGTATCTGAGTTTCTCATGGCTTCATTACTGTTTGTTACATGGACTTATCTAGCCACTTAAGTAACTGACAAACATTTGTCACACTGACAAAATAATTGAATTAAAAATGACTCAATAAAAACATGCTTAATATGCATACCTATAACTACTGTTATGAAAACTAACTCTTGTTTTTGTTGTTTGTTGGGTTTTTAGTGCATTTTTGAGGCCCAAACTTGGAAAACAGTATGAAGCTTCCTGCGTGGTATGTGGCTTTTTTTCCCTTAAACTCATCATAGTTTACTGGTTTTATGCAGCATTGGCTAAATATGGAAACTTAATAAAAGCTTGAACTCAAAGGGCCAAATAATCTCTGCTGTAAATGCACTTACATCAGTTGTTACCCCAGAGATGGAAAAATGTTCCAAATACGAATGCAAAAAAAGTCAAACCAGACATGCAGCCCAAAATGCAATTAAAAGCGTATCAGTTGAGAAATCTGTCATGTTCAAAGACCATAGTAAAGACCATTGGGCAGACAGCTTCAGTGAATTGTCCACTGGAAACCCCATCTCTTTCTGCAAAGGATCATGCAAATTCAGAGCTTACTGGTGTGTAGAAGAAGGCTAGCGTCGTATTTCTCTGTAAACGTGCACTTCTTTAAACTACACATGCTAAATTTCATATTCTATCATGCTGCCAAACTGTGTACTGTTCTAACTGGATCTGCCTTTTTTTATGGTCCTGCATACATTTTGATAAGTGAAACAGTTCTGCTGTCATTGACAAATATGGCCCATTCACTGTTGCCTTCTTCCTCCAAATCAACAGGCTACATAACATGATCCTCCTCTAGTGCCCCCTGCCCTTTTTCACATCAGTCTGAGGAACATCAGCACCCTCTAACTCTGAGGATAGGTCTACACTGCAATTAAAAACCCACAGCTGGCCCATCTCAGCTGACTAAAGCTCAGGCTAAGGGGTTATCTGCAATGTAGACATTTGGGCTTGGACTAGTGCCCAGGCTCTAGGACCTTGCAAGATGGGAGCGTTCCAGAACTTGGGCTGAAGGCTGAGCCTGAATTTCTACACCACAATTAAACAGCCCCTTATCCTGAGCCCCGTGAGCCCATGTCAGCTGCAGTCTAATTACAGGGTAGACATACCCTTGATTTGTAAACAGGAAACTAAGTTTTTCCCAAAACAACCTCTGAACAAACTCACCAAAGCTTTCTCTGCTATTGAGTATATTGAAGACTGAGCACTAAATAATACTTTAAGCTTTTATGCTACCTTCCTGCTTGAGAGTGTGGGTTTTTTTTTTAAATGTCACAATACTCTTCTGTAGAACTATAATCCTTTTTTGAGGCAGTGGAGATGGTGGTGGTGGAATGGAAGCATGGAGAGTGGAGTGCCTTGTCTATGGTCCCTTACCTTAGTAAATCACTAGCAGAGGTAAAGTAGAATGCAGATCTCCTGATCTCTAATCCTGTATTTCAAACCACTAGGCCATGCTCCATCTCCACAGCATTAAACAGAGGTTATTTAAAAAATATATATACTCCCAAGTACCAGGAACCTCACATCTTGTGGAATAGCATGAACATGCTGCCGAAGATGGGTACGACAATACTGTATTCAGTATGAGATCACAACATTCTTGCATGTGATTTGAGTAGGGGGCTGTAAACGGTGTCTTAGGCACCTGAGAAGCACAGTTAGATGAGATAGGGTATCCCAGGCTAGTGTAAATGGGGCAAATACAGCTTTAGATATGGGCAGGCTGTAAGTAGAGGTCATAAGGCCCTAAAGAGATGTCATGCTGAAAAACGGTCTTAAGCAAAACACATTTTGTACTTAGTGCCTCTTTGGATGGGGTGAAGGAGGGGCTTCAGGGACCTGAGCAGGGTGGATTGATTTAAATCACCAATTTTAATCTCTGTTTACATCAGCAAGCAGGAAATCTTGATTTATTTTTTTAATCAATTTTAATCATGTCTCTGCATTTGTAGTTTCTTAGTTATCTTCCCAAAGAAAGGCTGATTCTCGCTGGCTGATCAACATTTTAATGGTGATTAGCAACTAAATATAGTCTTTTTGCTGACCAGGAGAACACTCTATTGATACACATTTGTTTAAGCAATTATATAGCTTAATTTACATTTAGTTTTGCATTTAAAACTAACAGTTTCTGATAACTGCTTCCTTGTTTGATTAAACAGTTAGTATCTGTAGTTAGTTCAATTCATTATGTTCTTCAGGTTTTTAGAACTAGTAGATCTCCTCTCACATGTAGTTTTTAGTCATAGATTGGAAGAGGGACACCAAACGTTGCAGCTTGTTCAAATTGATTCTTTAACTTTTGAAAGAACTAGTCATTCCAATGAACTAGCTGAATAAAGTGACATAAAGAAAATGTTCCCTCTGAAATTGCGGAAGAGGCTACTGCTATCAAACGCTAGTTCAGCACTTCACCAAACTCTGGTTCCAGGTGCCTAGCCAATGACCTCCAGCTGTTCAGTGGCTTGGCTTTCTTGAAAACTTGGCTACAAACATGTACCGTTAATTTTTTTTGTATTTACCTTAAATGACTTTAGAATATAATAAATTAGGCCTCATCAAAGATTGTCAGTTTCAAATTTAATTAGGTTTATTTTTTAAATAAACAAACCTGTTTAACAGATGTTTCTTTCAATCCACACTGCCCCTGAGGTCCTGGCTCAGCTACCCCTACCCCTTATTACTGGTGGCAGCTGAGTCTCTTCCTCCAGGAGGGTGCTGGGGCCTTCCTAAAGGACCCTTCCGTTGGGGAATTCTGTGGAGGACCCCTGCACACATGGTGGTCTAGAGAGGTAGGATTGCTGGGGGTCACATGCCCCCAAAGTCCTGGCTGTGCAGTGGTTGGGGTTGGGGCTTAGCCAGCACTATGCCTGCTTGTGCTGATGGCAGCAGGTAAACATTATCTCTGTTTCACACAGACATGAAAGATCATGTGACTTGAGTAACGTTATACAGGAAGCCTGTGGCAAAGCCAGTCCCAAAAGCACCTGTGTCATCCTGTCTGGTATTGTAGCCCCGTGATTAGCCTTGCTCTGATAGAATGTGTGTAAACTTCAGCTGTAAGGAGCTAGCTGGCCCCTATAAGGAAGTGCCCAAGGGGATGCAAAATACTGCAGAGGGAAATAACCACCAGACCAGAGAACAGGGTGAAGAGAGAACACTGATGATATGAACAAACTCAGAACAGGTTGTTGGCACATAATGGCCTCAAAAGGAAAGTCATAATGTAAGTGATCGTGGGGGAGCAGAGCACACACCAGGAACAGACTCAACATTGCCTACGAGTCTGCAATCGCTATAATCAGTTCATGACATAAGCTTTCAATGCTGCTTTCCAGATTGCCAACTCTGCAGATGTTCCCTTCCTTTCTGTAATTCAGGTGGCAGTGGAGCCCGTATAACGTGTCAGTCTGCTGAGAATAGTTGGTCAGACTGTCTTTTGAAATTTCTTACTAAGGCAAAGTTACAATAAAATGTTCACATACTACATCATACATCAGTTTTATAACTTTTTCTGGATCAGGTTAATATTCAAAGAACCTGACTACAGAGTCTGACAGGTGGGCCACTCTCCTGTGTGTATGTTGAAAAGGGTGATCACATTTCTAAATACCTGTCTTCTTTTTGGCACTTCTCTTGTGTACATACTTGGCATGAAAACTTTTCTATTACAAGGACAGTCCATATCTTAATACATCACAGTTCCATAGGAGGAAGAGTTACATTTTTCCAGTAATATAAAATACGAAGTCTAGCTACTAACAATAAAGAAGAAATTAATTGGTTCTGTTTAATACGTAGATCCTCTCCTGGAGCATTAAGTAAGGAGGTCAAGGGGGCTCTAGGATACTGGCATTTTGTCATAAAATGAATCTCTTTAATAACTTCTTCCCCAAACCATCTAATTCCTGGACTTAACCACCATGTGTGCGAGTATGTACCCTTTTCCTTGCAATGCCTCCAACTGAGCGACTCCCTGGTAGCAAAAATGTGCCAGATCTTAACTAGATTCAAATGCTATCTATACAGCAATTTATAAATATTTCATTTATGAGCTACACATATTGAAGATGTATATCCTGTTTCCCATATAGAGACCCACTCCTCCATATCAGTTTTTTTTTCCAAATCCCTCTCCCATCTTTTCATCTGGGTTGTCTTTTTATCAACATCTTTTTCAGTCAAAATTGGTATGTATCTTAAAAATCAAACCTTTTTTTTTAGCTTGCTCGGGTTGAACTCCTCGAATGCAGTTAAATGTCTAGAGAGAGCTGCCTTGTATCCAGATTTCACAATAAAATGTTTGCCTTGTTAAATACAAGATCTTTATATAATTTTAGTATGTCATTATTACGTATCTTTTGGTATGATTTCAAATCAGGACCCAGGAACAACTGTCTGAATGGACCAATCTTGGCTTTTACCCACAACTAGTAGTTTTGATATTTTCTAGGGATAAATTCCTGATTATTAATGAAAGTAGCTAAGGGAGAGGGCCTCCCTGACAGCAATTTTGTAGAAAAATAGTGCAAAGCTGCTGAGGTGGTCTGAATGAATGGGGTTTTTTTTCTATATTTAATAATCTGGATTTCTTTATAGCCAAACAATTACTATGAATATTTGGGCTCCAATCTTGATTGAGTTTTACCTAGTGTGTGGATGGTCGGTTAACCCAATTAATCACATTTTAATTGTGATGGATAATAATAATAATAAGGTAAATTAGGGAAAGTTAGTCTACCCCACCTTTGAATGTTAGAACACACCCTTTCTCTTTTTATGTTTTTAACATGAATTTTAATAGTGCATCCTGCTATATTTTTAATGTCTTATCAGGGATGTGCTGAAACAAAAGTAGTATTTTTGGAAGGACATTCGTCTTTACTGAGGCTACCCTACCTAGCCAAAAAACTTCATATTTGTTCCATTCCTTCAAGTCTTTTATTATTTTATTCCACATTAGAGGGTAATTTACCTTTAAAAGTTTTTTTTCCACAATATTTATTCCTAAATATTGTAAAGACTTCTTTATCCATTTAAATTGATGCAGCTGACAGTTTGATTTGGCTCTTTCTGGAATATTAATTTCTAAAATTTCAGATTTATAGTCGTTTATTTTAATCCTGCTACATGCCCAAATTCCAAAGTCAATTGTTTTATAATTTTTAACAAGGCTTCTGGATCGTGCAAATGTAACGAGACATT